ATGACCAGGTCGCCGACGGATGTCTCGAGGAGAACCGACATTGAGCGCTGTGACTTTGTGACCTTCGACAGTTGGTGACTGCGCCTACTGCGAGCCTAAACCGCTCATTCTTGCTCCCGCCGCCATGGCGCTCCCCGTCACTGTCATGGAAGAGGGAAAGCTCCTCGTCGAAGCCCTCAACACCGTCAAAATCCAGGTCCAGCAGATGAAAAGACACCTCGTATGCACTTCTCGTTCAAATAACTCCACGTCTAATTTCGTGCAGGAGTTGGACCAGCTCATGGATGCCCTCAAGAGCGCCAGTCTCATGCTCGCAGAGTTGCGCACCTCGTCGCTCTCTCCGAAACAATACTACGAACTCTGTAGGTGGAACGAACCACAGAGTCTGACTGTTCTGGTCTCACTTGCGCGCGATAGACATGGCCGTGTTCGACGCATTGCGCCATCTGTCCAACTACCTGTACGACGCCCACACCCAGTCGCGTCACCACCTCGCAGACCTCTACGAGCTCGTGCAATATGCAGGCAATATCATACCCCGGCTGTACCTCATGATCACTGTCGGCGCGGTCTACATGTCCGTCCCAGAGGCCCCCGTCAAGGAGATCATGAAGGACATGATGGAAATGTCCCGCGGCGTGCTCCACCCCATCCGCGGTCTTTTCCTTCGTCACTATCTTAGCGGGCAGACCAGGGACCATTTGCCAGTAGGCGTCGATGAAGGGTGTGTACTCGCGGGCATGAATTTCGCGTACTACACTAACCGTGTGCCAGTCCCGCCGGGAATCTTCAGGATTCGATCTCTTTTGTCCTCACAAATTTCATTGAAATGAACAAGCTCTGGGTCCGCCTCCAGCACCAGGGGCACTCGAGAGACCGCGAAAAACGCGAATTGGAGCGTCGCGAGTTGCGCATCTTGGTCGGCACAAATCTCGTCAGGCTCAGCCAGCTTGACGGTGTCGATCTCGACATGTACCAACGCACCATTCTCCCCAGTATTCTGGAGCAAGTCGTCAACTGCAAAGACGTTATTGCCCAAGAATACTTGATGGAAGTGGTCATTCAGGTACATTTTCACCTCCTTCTCTTTTCTCCATATTAACCACCCGTAGGTTTTCACGGATGAATTCCATCTCCATTCCCTAGGCCCCTTCCTCTCTGCGACCGCACAATTGCACCCCAAGGTCAATATTAAGCAGATTGTAATTGCCTTGATCGACAGGCTAGCCGCATACGCGGCTCGGGAGGCCGAGAACGAGGATCCCGAGGAGACGAAGAGGCAAGAGGAGGCTGCGGCACGGCGGCTTGCGGAGCGGGTCAAACTGGCCAGAGCCCGAGAGAATGGTGTAAACGGTGGTGAGGCGAATGCATGGGGGGCGGCACCGCAGTCGCCTTCGGTCGAGCCATCGACGCCAGCTGTACCAGCCACCCCAGCTGTGCCTACCGACGGCACTCCGAATGGTGATGCACCCGTCGCGTCTGCATCTACCGCGCGCAAGTTCCGAGGGGTGCCCGAGGACGTCCAGCTATTTGAAGTATTCTGGGAGCAGGTCGTCGAACTCATCAAGGTGCGAATCACAAGTGGCTTATTCCATCCATGTTGACGTATAATGGCTCCAGGCTCGTCCGGATCTTTCGATACAGGACATAACAGCTCTCTTCGTTTCTCTCACCAACCTCTCCCTAAGCTGTTATCCCGACCGTCTGGAATACGTAGACCAGGTGCTGGGTTTCGCCGCAGAGAAGATCAAGGAATACTCTGAGAGGTGTGTGTGTATTACAGCTGTTCAGCACCAAGTCGAGGCTGAACATTTCCGCTAGTCCCGACCTGCACGCGCAGCAAACAACCTCCAATCTCGCTGCACTCCTCGTTGCGCCAATCAACTCATATCAATCTGTTCTTACGCTGCTGGCGATCCCCAACTATGCGCCGCTTCTAACGAAACAGCTCTTCTCTACCCGCCGCTCCATCGCACACTCGATTATCTCTTCGGTTCTGAAGAACGAAACGATTGTTGAGACGCCCGAGGACGTCGACGGGGTCCTAGAGCTGTGCCATGTACTTATAAAAGACCAGTCTGATGCGGCGTCTGGTGGGTCTGCGATAAATGGGACACATCCCAACATGAAGGACATGCGGAGGCATGGCCCATACTCTGTGGAACGCGAAGAGATGGCAGAGGAGCAGGGTTGGGTCGCGCGGATGGTACATTTGTTCCGGGCGGATTCCCTTGATGTCCAGTTCGAGGTCGGTTTCCCTGTCCTTTCCATATGACGCCGCTCAATGTTTTGCAGCTCTTGCAAATAGCGCGGAGACACTTTGATGCTGGCGGGGAGCGAATGCGGTTCACATTCCCGGCTTTAATCACGTCCTCGATCAAATTGTGCCGGCGGTACAAAAACCGGGAACATTTGGTGCATACCTTTCTGTACGATTTGTTGTTTGCTGAGTTCTCGTAGGAAAACGACTGGCAAACCAAAGTGTCCACAATCCTCAAGTTTTGTCGGCAACTGACCTTCATCCTGGCATCGCAAGTGGATGCACCCACGATTGCGCTGCGACTCTTCCTTCTCGCTGCTCAAATCGCCGATGAATGCGGCTTCGAGGATCTTGCTTATGATCTCTATGTGCAGGCTTTCAGCGTGTACGAAGACAACATCTCCGAGTCCCGGGCGCAGCTGCAAGCTATTACCCTCGTAATCGGGACGTTAGAAGGCGCCAAGGTCTTCGGCGTAGATAACTACGATACTCTCATCACCAAGGCGGCTTTGCATGGCTCAAAACTCTTGAAGAAGAGCCACCAAGCAACGGCGGTGGGATTAGCGAGCCATCTCTGGTGGCAAGAAAAGCCGATACCTCCCGAGAGCGAGGCCGAGGATGCCGAAAAGAAGGAAACAGAGAAACCCTCCGTAAAGGACGAGGGCGAAACCGTCAAAGCGGTATTTATTCCTTTTCGTCGTTTTCGGCTCGTCTGAATGGTCAAACCTTGTGTAGTTCCCCCATCAGGATAGCAAGCGTGTTCTCGAATGTCTGCAAAAGTCACTTCGTACCGCCGGCTCTGCTATTGAGGAGATCGTCACCGTCCAGCTCTACTGCGACACCCTCGATCATTACCTGTACTACCTGGACCGTGGCGCACCTGCGGTATGTATAGCTTTCTGTTTTCCATTTCGTTGCGCTGATTTATTGTTTAGGTTGCGCCGAAATTCGTCAACAGCCTCGTCGAACTAGTAGCGTCGAGCATTGACAACATTTCCTCGCCCGACATGCATCCGTCTCAACGCGCACCCCCAGGTCTCATCGAAGGTGTACAAACACCTGAAATGATCACACGGCATTTCAGGAACACCCTGTACTACATTCAACGACGGAAGAACGCTGTTCCCGACGGTGGAGTCGACTCGCGGTGGGATGAGGTAGATGTTGTTGGCGCTTTGTTGAAGATGGGCATCCAACGGTGATCAGTTAACAAGTATTTAACGCCTCCGCACATGTTCTTTTGTACCGTAATAGTGGGCGGTCACTTTTTAATCTGGATTTGAGGCTGTCGCAAATCTTTGGAGGGAAGGAGTGAACGGCCTTCCGAGTTATAATGGACTATATACAATTGAAAAGAAATATAGAAAGGTCGAAAGAAGAAGGCGAGGTATAATACAGCACAACTCTAACGAAGCCCATCGCAAGCATCACGGACCACCTCAGCAGCACTTGCTTCCCGGGGCGGCGTTGTTGTCTACGCTCGGGCCGACGCTGATACTAGGGCCTGGGGCGTCCACGGGATTGTTCGACTGCTCCAGCGACTTGCTTGACACAATGCGGTAGATGTCTACATGCTGTCAGCGAGGCGACTCGTATGATCCAGATGAAACAGCTCACCAGTCAAGATTGTTTGGAACGCGCCCTCGACATTCGAGGCGTCCAGCGCCGAAGTCTCAATGAACGAGAGTCCATTCTCCGCTGCGCACGAATCAGCTGATTGTAGCGAGAAAAGGGGGAGACGGACTGGAGAAGGCCTTGGCCTCATCCGTCGGCACAGCCCGCAAATGCTTCAAATCGCTCTTGTTGCCGACCAGCATGATGACAATGTTCGAGTCGGCATGATCGCGCAGCTCCTTCAACCACCGCGTAACGTTGACATACGTTGCGTGTTTGGCGATATCATATACCAGAAGCGCTCCGACTGCGCCGCGGTAGTACCTGGCACGAGACTGGATTCAGAACAGGAGATGGTAGGGGACGGGACATACTCACGCAGAGGTGATTGCCCGATAACGTTCTTGGCCAGCTAGGGAATTGGAGATAGGGTCAACGACCCGCGGCGGAGATGGCAGGATACTCATGCGGCACCAAAGCCAGGTATCCCGCCAGCGAAAGAACATCCGCACCTGTATCCCAGATCTGCGCCTTGACAGTCTTGCCGTCTACGTCAATAGAACGAGTCGCAAACTCGACCCCAATGGTCGATTTGGATTCGAGATTGAATTCGTTCCGCGTGAATCGCGAGAGCACTGTGCGCTCCTGGTCAGTTTGTATCTAGATTCATGCTATTCACACCCGTACAGTTGCTGGTTTGAGAGCAATTGGGTTAGATGACTGAGCACTTGGATAGATACTGGAGACGTACGACTTGCCAACTCCCGAGTCTCCGATGAGAACAACCTGTGGAAAGTTAGCGTCAATTTATAGCGGCTCGTAGCGGCACTACCTTGAAGAGATAGTCGTAGTTGCTGCCTTCGGTCATGATGAGATTCGGAGAGGATGGTGGTTGCTGTCGTAAAGAGGTATCCGGTAAACAACCATCAACTCAATGCTGTGTTCGCGTGTCTCTCCGGCAAAGTATTTCTTACGAAACGAGAGCAGTGAGGTACGAATAAACCGTCCTGAGGTGTTCTTGGCTTTTCAAAAAGAATAACAGCGGGTCGAACTGAGGACCTTTACAGAAAGAAGGTTGGAAAAACACAAGTCCAATGCAGGGAATGCTCCAAGTAAAGGACAAAAATGCTCACTCTGAGGGTCGAACTCAGGACCCTTGCATTTGGATTCGGTAATCAGGTCACCACATAAGTACAATGCACTACCACTGTGCTAAGCGAGCAATGACATTTTGGTATTATAAGGCAAATTAGACCTACTGGAGGCCATTGGACAGTAAACTGCGAATGTAACTACACTGCTGACCGCTACCAATATCCAGTATTAGTCACCCATGGGTCCATCATGGCTGGAAACCAGGTGGTCTAGTGATCAAAATAATACACTGACCCTGAATAAGTATTGGATCACCAACTTTTGAAACTTTCAGACTCCAACCTATGCATCCATGCTTCCATCTCATTGTCCTTATTGTCTTTATTGTTTTTGGCACCTGTAAAGCCCATATATCCCATCAAGATAGAGGGGGAGATCCCATGGGTCTCCCCTTCTAATTTGATGGGTTTAGGCATGGGGTCGCACCACACATTAATTACACATTGTGAGGTCTCTGAGTGTGCTATGCACCGCTCATCGCCTCATGGCCCCTGTGAACCATCTGCATGAGTGACGGGATGAGCTCGGACGTACGTGATGGAACTTCCATAACGGGATTCTACGTTACCAGAAGCAGCTTCTGAGCAAGACCAATGTTCTCCCCACTATCTGGATGTCTTCTCCACCACCCAAACTCGCTCCGACGAATGAGACCGGTGCTCTCCTTGCCACACGAATTGTGCATGTCACTACTCAGTGCCCTGTAATCAACAGCAGGATACAACTGGTCCCTGGACATCCAGTGCCGATCGACATTGAGTGTCACACAGCATGAGGTTGAGCGAGTACAGTAGACCACAAAGCCACTCATGTGCATGGATATGCATCTTGGGGATGACAAAGACAATCATATGAAGGACGATGAAGCAGCGGACAAGAGGCGGCAGCAGGAGCAACCGCTTGAAGAGGAACTTCCACCACGAGCAGACAATATTGTAAGATACCGTCTTGTGCAGGAGGGGATCATGGTGACACATCACCGAGCCGAAGATGTAGTCCATATTTGTAAATCTGGGACTATGTTAATACCCAGGCCCCCATAATAAATAGAGTGGAATTGCTCACCTCTTGCCTTTCTGCAAATCACCCACCCTGTTCGGCTGAATGAATTCATGCTGTGTGCAAACACACATACCAACACCCATAGTCCAGCACGGCAAGACCGCTGCACGTAGTCATCTGTTACTCAGTTAGCCTCACTTCCATATGCAGTCAGAAGCACACACCTCTTTCTGGTCTGTCACCATCAATAGAAACTCCCAAAACTCCGCATTCTCCAACATGTATGCCTACCCTGTCCCAAGGCCTGGATCTTTCAGCTCGCTCAATACAAGTAGCCGTCTGAGGCGAAAACATGTGTCTAGGGCAAAAAAAATAGCGTAGATGAATCTGCAGATGTTTCAAGCTCAGCCATCTACTATGAGACCACATGAATCAGCAAATGCATACCTTTCCTCCTTTGTTGCACTTTCCCAGTCTGGTGGCAAGTTAACTCCTGGGTGTGGGCAAGTGGGACACCGAACAGCGAGCTCCTCTGACTTCATCCCCTTCACGCCCTCTGGATTGTGGCCTCTCCCCCCTTGCTTCAGCATCATGAGGTGCCAGTACTCGCAGCAGATGTGGATAAAAACTTGGTAGCGGTCGGGCGGCTTCACACCATCATTGGAGGTTAATTTCTCCAGCACAAGGTAGTAGTCGTACATTGTTGTCTTCACTTGCAACGTGAGGGTGTAGAACTGGTCTAAAGCACTGAAAGTCATGCATGTCTGTGGGCGCTCTTCAGACGCCGGGTACCATCCGCTCTGCAGGAGCTGTGTGTCAGGCAGCCCAGTGCTCCCCTGCCTCTCACACCCGCAGAAATTGATGGTGACCTGATGAATCCTGCTCTCGTGCAATACGACAAAACCAGTTCTTGCGGGTTGCGGGCTCGCACAGAATTCCCCTGGAAGATGCCTGAATTGCACCCTCAGACCCAGCACTTTCAGTGAAGTGCATAGGAATTGGGTACCATTCCACACCTACATTATAAAACAGTGTCAGTCACCACGTCTCGGTAGCTTGTTCAAACAGCTACCTCGATGACATGGAGTGGACTTGACAAATGGTGCATCATGTAACACTTGCAACAGTACAGTAGCCCACCCTTGCATTCACGACATCGGTAGGCAGGGCAAGCAGCTGTGTCATTGCATCCGGGACACAATACGGTGCTGGCACCCACACACCCATCACGGCGAAGCAACTCCCGCAGATAGTGGTCACGGCAGCTGTCTTTCTATTGATAAAGCATATAATCCTATATAAATAGACACATCAGTTATGAAAAAAAAATAGAATGAAGAAGGCACTGAAGACACACTGAAAAAATCCCTTTGCAACTTCGGAAAGCAGGTTCAGGGGCAGGTGGCTCCTTGTCATCGCCGAAAGCCATGTTGTATCAGTTGTGGTGTACATCTGCCTCCAGAAATGCGAACGGCACCGGTCTTGCATCCAACTCAGAGGATCCTTGTGCTGCTGCAAAGCACGCTCTCTTGATTGGGGATGGCAGCTCTATTGGGATAACTTCACGGTAGATGTGCCACGAGTCTTCAGATGTCTGATCCACAAACACCTGGATTGGTTCATGGACTCCAGGGTGGGGTAGGAATTGCTTGGGGGTGAAAGAGTGAGAGGAGACAGAAGTGGAGGAAGTGCCTGGGATAACTTTGAGGTGCTTGCCACGGACCCGGTGAATACGGCGCGTTGACACCAGTAAACTTGAAGCATTAACAAAGAATGGGCCTAAAAGCCGAAAGTCCGAGTAGCAGAGAATAAGCACCTGTATCTTAAATAGCACTCTCAAATTGCGCTTGGCTTTTCTCTTTATCTTTCCCTTCCACCCCAACCATGCCAGGTATGTCGTTCTATTTGAATAAGTTCTCCATTTCTTCTTCTTTCGCCATTCCCTGTATGCCACTTGCTTGCCATTGCATATTCTTGTGTGCCTGACCCTGGGACTGCAGAATAGTGGGGGCTTGCAAGTGGCATGCATTCATTTTTGTGTTATATTCTTCATCACCTCTCCTCACATTCTTTCGACGCGTCTCACACATCTTTTGGCGTTTTTGGTTTTTTTTTGGTTTTAATTTTTTTCATTCCATTCTGACGGTGACCAATACTTGTTTCAGCCCATGCTCTATGTAATGGCAAGGCATAGACCGAATTCATGGAAGACATGTTCATTGTCAACCATTTTTGTGTCAGTGACCTGGTCACTCATCACGCCACCAGACCTCAAGACAAATCCGACCACAGCAACACCGAGTCCAAGCTAAGTGATCTGAGCGAGCTAGATGACAACGACTACAAAGACAAACCTCTGCTTCCCCCAAAGCCTGTGCCTCCCCCGGTCTCTCCACATCCCACTCCATCAAAACCGCACCACTCGAATCTGTGGCAGACTGGCCGCTCTCACTATATTCTCCAAGTCGCATGCAAACAATGGGAGCCCAAGACGCTGGACAAGCCCAACCCTTCTCTATCTCAGCCCCTGTGCCTGGGGAATGCCTGATGCAAAAGCAGCAGAAGGCAACTTGTCGGTGTGCAGCTTGCGCTGCGAAGCAGGAGGTGTTGTGCAAAATGGCAGGCTACTCTAAAGTGCCCAAGGCCGTCTCTTTAGCTCATATGAACCATAGGGCTTCAACCCGTCGCCATTTTTGATGGGTCGACGGATGGGACGGGCGGGTAAAGACCCGCCCGTCTGGGCCCTTGAGCCAGCGCCAGGACGGGACAGGTACGGGACAGGTTGACCCGTCGACGGGGTACCTGTTCCCGCCTGTTTAACGGGTTTGACGGGTCACCTTTCCTAGATGGAAATATGCATGAATTTCGTCCAATTTCCAGGAATTGAGGTGAAACTTACCCATACATGGAAACTCCTTTGCTGAAACATCAATTCTTGCCCGCCACAAGCACTTGAAAAGCACCTGGATGGTATTGCCAGGACTTGCCGATATTTGATCTGCGATCAAATTCCGATTAACCGTCCACAAACACTTGTCTAGTCTTATATCAGGGCACTTGAGATATTTTATGATACTTTAGAGGTCCTAGTAAGTTCCCAGTTTGGTCTCAGACTGTCAATAATTTATTAAACTTACTTGCAGAAATAGTCCTCCAGCAGCTGTCAAAACGGCCGTTACGGACGGGACGGGTGGGACCCGCCTGTCTCAGGGCCCTCAGCTACCCTCTGACGGGACGGGTATACCCGTCCTGTCGAGAAAGACGGCTGTTTTTTTTTGACGGCCGTCCCGTTTAATGGACGGGTTGAAGCTCTAGTGAACCAGAGCTCTCCCACCCACGTTGAGCTCCGGATTGGCTCGCACCGGGGAGTGGCATTGTCAGGGTGGATGGGCCTGCTCCACCCAGAGATGGACTTCGAGCCGGGAGCCTGTGAATACTCCTATGAAGAGGCGCAGGCAATCCCTGGGATGTGGGTACTTGATTGGCAAGGGTACGTCTTTAAGCACTCCTTCTAATTCTGTATTTGATGGGAAACCAGCAAACCCGGTCCCTTAGTGGACGCTGACATGCACATGTTTGGGGTGTTCAGTGGCCAGCCCCACGACCCCAACTGGCAAAAGGACATCACAGAGCCGGCCGCCAAACTCATGGACAAGGCTGCCTTGAATCTGTATGACCGTGTCTTCCACGGGGTCTATTATGGCCCACGAAAACAGGAAAAGAAACAGTGTGCAGCCCCTGAACCTAGGCACCGCAGAACCCACAGATCCAAGAGCATGGGTAGCTCAATGGGAGGCAGGCAGCAGTTCCCCATGCATTTCTTCCTCACCGCGCTCCAAAAAACCATACTTACCAGACTTTTGGCTCAAAAGCCATTCCAACACATTACAGGCTTTGCTAACTGTGAGTAGCTCATCACAGCATGAGATTTATCTGAAACCTTGACAGCCATCTTCCAATGCTTTGCCCCTGACTTGCATGCCTACTATGGCTCCACCATTGACAAGCTACATGAGTGGAATCCTTCACTCAAGTGGAACTTTGCTGCTGATATCTCGGTCTTTG